AACTAGGCTTCTCTTGAACCTGAATGATGTTTACCACGCCTTGATAATCATCCAAGCTTTGATTTGCTTGTTCTATGTTGTTTTCAACCCATATCTGCTCAATAAGGTCATTTAAAGCTTCACGCATCTTTTTAGCTCCAGCTCGCGTGACTGGACCTCCTTGGGTGTGTAATGGATCACATGACGTAGTAGATATGCTGTCGTCTTGATTCCCATAAAAAATGATGGCTATTTTTCTAAGGTATCAACTATTTTTTAATGTTCAACGCTAATAAATAAGAGATATGCTTATAAGTATTTATTCTTTTCTAACACTGAACGCTTGAAAATAAGTATTGAAGGTCAAAAATACATTATGAATTTGTTGTTATTTGTTATTTTCTAGCACTTAGCACTAGAAACTATTAATAAGTTTTTCTAGCACATTTTTTAATTTGAAAAATACTTTTTGACACATTTTTTTTCCATCAATACTTTTCAACGCACAATGTTGGAAAATAAGTATTCTTTAGCACATTTTGAGTATTTTCTTGTGTAAAATACTTTGGAAAATAACATTTTTTTAGTAATGTATATATGAGAGAGGATTTATTTACATATAAACCTTACACATTACATTTATACAAAATCTCAATTAGCTATCATTTTCAATGATTAAGATTTATCATGACTTTTTATATGAAAAATATAATTATTTTTAATAAAAGTGAATAAATCTCACATATTGAAAATAAAAAAATAAATGGTTGAAATTTTATATAAATATAATATGTAAAATCTATATATAAGTATATCCAAACTCTATATATAAGGAAAGGATAATTATTAAAAGGCTGACGAACTTCTAGACTGACTAAGGCCAAATGGTATGTGGCAGCCCCACCTTCGTTAAAAGTGAATAAATCTCACATATTGAAAATAAAAAAATAAATGGTTGAAATTTTATATAAATATAATATGTAAAATATATATATATAAGTATATCCTAACTCTATATATAAGGAAAGGATAATTATTAAAAGGCTGACGAACTTCTAGACTGACTAAGGCCAAATGGTATGTGGCAGCCCCACCTTCGTTAATTTCTTTTGCCTTTGCTACGGTTAAACTAAAAATTGGTTCCTTAATTTAGCAATTTAAACTTTTTTAGTTCCTTAATTTTTTTGAACTATTTTTTAGTTTTCAAACTTGAATTAAAAATTAGTTTTTAGTGTGTTAGGATTTTAGATTATTTTAAATTTCAATACTTAAGATGTTAGGATTTGGATTTTTAATATTTACCAATATTTAGGGCGTTAGAGTTCAAATTTTTTAAAATTTAATTAGAATTTAATATGCAGAGTAGGGTTTGGAATTTAAGTGTTAGGGTTTATATTATTAGTTTTTGAGTTTAATATTTAAATTACATATTTAATAACCTAAAAATTAAAATCTCAAGACTTAAAAATAAAAATTAAAAGTTATTATATCTAAAACAAAAAAAAATAATTATAAAGACTAATTGGTTTGCAACAGATTGGTCCCTATGGCATTACTTGCATGAAAAAAAATATATATCAGTCCCAATTTCCAAAAAAAAAAAAAAAATTAGAGTCTCAACCTTAAAAAATGTTGTTTCATTTAATTAAAATTTAATTAAAAATTCAAAAATTCACCTTATTAAATATTGATATTTGGATTTGGAAAGTAATTATATATTATAATATAATTAGTTTTTAAATTTATACCTTAACATTTAGTAAGGTAGCATTTTAAAATTTGAATTGAGTT